GGGGGGGGATGGTTAGTGTTACAGACACTGTCACTTTAAGGGGGGGGGATGGTTAGTGTTACAGACACTGTCACTTTAAGGGGGGGGGATGGTTAGTGTTACAGACACTGTCACTTTAAGGGGAGCCTGTGTTAGGTTGTTACTGTGACAGCCAGCTGGGGAATCCGGAAGTGTGTGTGTCAGGGACTGTGTTCTCAGCCGGGAGCCGGGATCCGGGATCCCGGAGCCGGGAGCTGTCCCCACCCCACCCCCCCAACTCCCGGACGCTGTTATGCTGCGGCCGCTGCTGCTGTGTGCGGTATGCGGCTCGGTGTCCGTGCTGCTCCCCGCCGATGTCTGGCGCTTGTGGAGCCGCTGGTTTACGGACTGGCTCGGGACCGCGGCGGGACCTGCGTCCATCCGCCTCTTCACTAAATCCGAACTGAGCCGCTACACCGGAGAGAAGGGCAGCCCCGGGCTATACCTGGCGATCCTGGGGCAAGTGTTCGATGTGAAGAAAGGGAAAAAACATTATGGTCCGGGAGGTTCCTACAGTTTCTTTTCAGGTAGAGTATGAACACAGGATCCGCACAGCCAAAGCTGCATAGCAACATCCCACACTGTTCCCTGTGCTGGGCACCAGCAATGTCTACACTATTACCATGGAAGAACACTCACCATGGACACAGATCGTGAGTGTACCAACTGGTTCCAGTGCCCTGTGCTTAAAGACCATTCCCCTTCACAGGTAATGTTTCAATGTGCCCCTTTCTAACCAAGTGCTTCACAAAGCTGGGCTGGTGAACTGACCCGTTGGAGGTCCAGGGCAGCAATGGCTCCAACTCCATGCACCCCACCCCTTCATTCTTTGGGAGGTGGCTTGCAATCGGTTTCGAGCTCTGGATTGGGTTTATCGTGGGCCAAAGTTTGGGAAATGCTGCGGTGTTAGACTGGTCTCTGCTGCCTTCGTAACCAAAGGGTGCGTGGACCCTTTGGTCATCAGGGATCAATTAACCCTGTGGGTTAGTTTATTTAAAACAGTAAAACACATTCCAAGCAACAAAGCAGACATGGTGACTCGTTTCTATGCACATCACAACCAGACTGACTGACTGTTAGTTGGAGTCACAACATTGTATGTACACAGTCCCTTAAAGACAAGGTACACATACAACAGATATGGCTCTCAAGCAGCTGTCAGGAAGCTTGATGGCGTCTTTGGTCTGCCCTCTAACTTCCAAATTCCCAAAGTTATACTTTCACCAGTGTAACCTCATTCAACCTTCCTCCAAAATGTTGAATCTCAACCTTGCAAGAAAGACTTGCATTTATAGAGCACTTTTTCTTGGCCTTTAGGAGCACAAAGATCATTACAACCAATGAATGTTTAGAAACTTCTCCCCCACCAATGCACTAACCATTGTCTCAGTTCACAACCCAACAACCGCCACTTACATAGCACCTTTTCGTACAGTGCAACATCCTGAGGCATCAAACAAATTTGAGACTTGGCAATATATAAGGAGTTATTCTGGCTTGGTAAAAGAGATTTTGAGGAATACCTTTCAGGTGGATGACAGGGAGGTTTACAGGAGGAATTCCAGAGCTTCAGATTCAGTCAGCAGTGGGACAGCAATTAAACTTTGGAGTGTGTAAGGGGCCTGAATTAGAGAATTTTTACTCGGAGAGTGGTTTGTGAATGGAATGAACTGCCAGAGGAAGTGGTGGATGCAGGTACAATTATAATGTTTAAAATATATTTGGATAAGCACATGAATAGGAAAGGTTTGAAGGAATATGGGCCAAATGCAAGCAGATTGGACAAGTTTGGTTTTGGAACATAGTCAGTGTGGACTCATTGGACTGATGGGCCTGTTTCCGTGCTCTATAACTCTACACAATCCAACAATGTGCAGGTGAAGTGGGCTGGCCATAGTACAAATTGCTCCATAGAGTCCAGGGATGTGTTCCAGTGTATGTGCAGACACCGACAGCAAGATTTGTGTCTCAATGTGCAGGGAGCAGTATTGGCTTAGAGCACGAATAAAGTGAAAATGTCCTCAGCAATTGCCCATATAAACCCCCTGTAAGGTCAGCCCTGGTCACTCACCCACCCCCTGAAAAGTCTGTATGCTGTACAGTACTCTGGATTGAGAACCACTGGCAATTGTGCAGGAGTGGGAAACACCATCAATTGCACCAATGACCCTCCTGATCCCTAAGTAGTTCTTTCATTCCTTACATTCCCATTGTCTATCGCATGATGGATGAGATTAGAACTGAGACAAGTGCAGTCCTCCCAGCTGGATAATAGAAGGCTGAGGTTGGTGGAGGATGGTGTGATTGATGGTGCTAAGGCTGACGAAGGCTAGCATATTGTGGTCTCTATCAAATTGGGTGTTTTTATGACTTTGGTAAGCAGCATCTCAATACTGTGTAGCAGGGGTAAAAACCTGATTGACTGGAGGGTTTCGAACATGGAGTTCTGGGAAAGTTGGTCACAGATTAAAAAACATTGCAAGGCAGCATTCTGACACCGCAGTTTTTGTTTAGCTGTATAAAGGAGCTTACTAGATCAGCGAATCTAAACCTATTTAATTAAAATTTAAAGTTTAATCTGAAGAGTTGTACCGGACCTGAAGCATTAACTCTATTTCTGTCTCTACAGATGCTGCTACACCTGAGTTTCTCCAGCAAATTCTTGAGTTCAGATTTCCAGCATCTGCAGGATTTTGAATTTATTATAATAAAATGTTAACCCTTCAATGTATCAGTTTGTTGGGCACCCATTATGCGTTTCTCTATTATTTCCAATAACTGACTCACCTCCAGTTCTCTTCCCTGTTTAGCTTTCATACTGTTCACTGTCATACCTGCCCTTGTTTTAATTGTGCATTTACTACAGCCTGTTATCACAGCCCTGGTTCTTGGCTCAGCTCCCGTCTCCAGTGACAACCCACTCCCCAGGGATTCCAGAAGAACTCTTTTTCCATCTCCCAGTCAGGATCACTGACCTCTCTGACAACAGCAGCGTGTTTGAGTGCTGTGTTCTGGGCACAGCCCATGGGTAGGAGGATATCTGTGCAGTGTGTGTCTGGTGAGGGAGAATATGGTCCCCGCTGTGTGCTAAGGATCTTCAGCCTCTGCTTAAGTAGAGAGTCTAAAAGACCCCGGCAACCATGTGATTTAGATTATAAGATTCCTTTTGGTTCTGTTGAAATTAGACTTCCTTGGGAGAGATGGTGGTGGAGGGGTGATGTCACTGCTACTTCAGAAACCCAGGCTTATGTGCTGGAGATGTTGGTTTCAATCCAATCCTGGAAGCTGGTGGAATTTAAATTCCACTAACTTAAAAGTAAAATGTAAGTGAAAACTGGACATCTGCAGTGACCATAGCAACTGTCAGTTTGTGGGGGTTGAGGGCTGTTTCTTCACTAATTTATTTCTTCATGCTTTCAGCAAAGTGTTTTTTCTGTCAAGACACCTCCTCACCCAGAGCCTCCAAACTCTGTCTCTCTCTGTCTGTGTGTGTCTCTCTCTCTCTCTGTCTCTCCCCCAACCCTGGGATTAAAATCCAAACTTCAGGCCCCTTTTCAGGCAGGACATTGGAGCTGGGAACTGTTCAGACTCTGTGCAGCTAACCCAGCAGTGAAAATTCAGACCAGGAGGTCAGAATGGAGTAGAGGAGCAGAGAGAACTGAGGTACAGATACTCAAACCGTTAACAGTGCTGACATCAATTAAAAAGGACACAGAAAACGGAAGGGGAAAAAAATTACTTTCTAGAGGGATAGAATTGAAAAAAAGTTATGCTAAACTAGTTAGACCCCAGACAGAGTACTGTGAACTGTTCCAAAGGATGCCATAATGTGAATGGAACCAGAACTGGGAGGCTGTCCTCTCTGGAAAGATTGTACAAACTCGGGCTCTTTCTTTCCTTCCCCTTCACACTTATCGAGGCTATATTTGAGTCAAAAGACTTGAGCACAGAATTGGAGACAGGAGAAGAACTTAAAAGCTGCTAAGGCACTATTTTTAAAAGCAGAAAAATTCTTCTGAGCTAATATTTTGCACTTAATCCACAAAAACATCGCCTTGGTTTATTATAATGTTGTTCATGGGAGCTTACTCCATATAGCTGCATATTTCTCTAAATTACAAAAGTGTCCGCACTTCAAAAATCTTTAATAGCTGCCAATCATTTGACATCCCAGGGGTGTTGGAGGTTGAGTGACAACCTTCTAGAAGTCTATAAAATAATGAGGGGTATAGATAGAGTTAATGGTAGGTGTCTTTTCCCTAGGGTGGGGCAATTTCAAGACTAAAGGGGCATATTTTTAAAGTGAGCGGAGAGAGATTTGAAGAGTTAGTGTAGAATTATAGAGGGGCAATTTTTTTTTTTTTAGAGAGTGGTTCATGTGTGGAATGAACCTCCTGAGGAAGTGGTAGATATGGGTAAAGTTACAACGTTTGAAAGACATTTGGATAAGTACATGATTCAAAAAGGTTTGGAGGGATATGGGCCTAACGCAGGCAGGTGGGACTAATTTAGTCTGGGGTTATGTTCAGCATAGTCTGGTTGTACCAAAGGTTCCATTTCTGTGCTGTATGATTGTATGAAAGGCACAAGTTCAATGAATATCTTGCTATAGTTCTTCCTTTGGCTGTTCTGTCACCTCCCCTATCTCCTCTGCTAATGTCTGCTTTCAGCTTTGCAAATTGTTTTGGGACATTACATTTCCAAAATGCTTTTTTCTTGTGGTAAATAAATAATTGAGATCCTAATATTCTGAATGGACTGGAAAACTCATTCCCAGAGTTCAGATCATTATGAAGTTTTCATCACATTCTCTGTACAGTTTTGTTCTGGGATTGTATTAGCAATTTGGTTACCAAATTGTTATTCGTATCAGATCTGCTGAGTTTCTCCAGCAATTTCTGTTTTTGTTTCCAATCCCCAGTATTCCCAGTTCTTTGTTTTGTTTTTATTTATGTTATGTGTGTCTGTGGCTTCCAATTGTTTAACATCTGAAAAGTTAGCTGCAAGGCAACAAGGATTTCAGGGACACAATTTCTTAACTCAAGTTGTATCTGAATGGTTCTTGATGGACCTGCATATTCTGCTGTCTATACATGTATGGACCCAGTTGTTCTATGTTGCTGCAGTGGATCAGTATGCAGAGCCTCTGCCCTCAGATGTGAACTTATTTTATTGTCAAATGCAGGTCGAGATGCGTGTCGAGCATTTGTGAGTGGAGATTTCACTGAGAATGGTCTTGTGGATGATGTTTCTGGGCTCTCGCCCTCTCAAATACTTTCTCTCCATGAATGGCTTGATTTCTACAAGAAAGAATACATTTTTAAGGGTAAGAGTCTCATTTGGAAAAAGAAGGCACCTTAGGTGAAAATGCAACCCCTAAACCTGATCCGAAATCATGTGAAAATAGCAGTGAGGAAGGTCCTCAAAGCCCAGGTCTCCTGATCCCCTGCCATCTCCAACTTCTTTTGGGAGTAATTCCACTGGAGATGCTCATCCAAGTTCCGGTTTATTCCCCTCTCTCTGGCTAGTTGCACAAAACCTGCAGGGGGGAGGAGCTGTGTTGAATTACAGCCTCACCCATTGCAGGCCATTACAATGTAGTCTTCCTGAGGAGATCTCATGTGGAACCTCCCAGTTCTGCCTAGCCTCTGGATAAAGAGGATACACAACAGGTGAAATAATGATCTGGCCTTTCCAAATGCCGGATAGTCATTTCTGCAGTGTAGGAGGGAGCATCTGTAATGAAACCCCATGGAATCCCTGACAGATTCCAAGGGAATTGTCTGGAATTGAAGATTCCGCTGATCCATTCCTCCATGTTTGGTAAGTCTCTGAATGTATCCATTAAAGTCTGAGAATTTGCAGGGTTCCACTGCAGTTCATATTTTTTTTTTACCCAGGAAAAGTTTAGAAGATTGAAAACCCAGTTTAACTCCTGGCTAACTATAATCTTGCCCCCATCTCAGCATCCACCAGCCCTGCCCACGCTGACTACACTTTCCCAGACCCCTTACACCTCGTTGCAGGACCCAACATACAGTCCCTGCCACCCACCCTATCCCTGCCAACTTTAATCTACCCTCAACACTCCATCACTTACCTGATGCCCTAGCCATCTGACACTGTAATGTGACATTTCCCTTGTATACTTCCTCTTTCACAGGATCTGTTAAAGTGCCTCACTCTGCTGCTCGTTACTGATTCTTTTTATTCAGTCATGGGACGTGGGCATCACTGGGAGCATTTACTGCCCGTCCCTAGTTGCCCTTGAGAAGGTGGTGGTGAGCTGCTACAGCCCACGTGCTCTGGGTTGACCCACAATGCCCTTAGGGAGAAAATTCCCCAGGATTTTGACCCAGCGACACTGAAGGAACGGCGATATATTTCCAAGTCAGGGATGGTGAGCAGCTTGGAGGGGAACTTGAAGGGGGTGGTGTTCCCATGTATTGACTGCCTTTGTCCTTCCAGATGAAAGTGGTCGTGGGTTTGGAAGGTGCTGTCTAAGGATCTTTGGTGAACTTCCGCACTGCATTTTGTGGATAGTACACACTGCTGCATGTTTGTTGTTGGGGTACCTATCAAGAGGGCTGCTTTGTCCTGGATGGTGTCAAGCTTCAAGCTGTGGCTGCACTCATCCAGGCAAGTGGGGAATATTCCATCACACTCCTGACTTGTGCCTTATAGATGGTGGACAGGCTTTGGGGAGTCAGGGGGTGAGTTACTCGCTGCAGTATTCTTAGCCTCTAACCTGCTCTTGTAGCCACTGTGTTTAGGTGGTGGGTCCAGATGGGTTTCTGATCAATGGTAACCTCCAGGATATTGATAGTGAATGTCAAAAGGCAGTGGTTAGATTGTCTCTTATTGGACATAGTCCAATTGCCTGGCAATTGTGTGGTACAAATGTTATTTGCTACTTGTTAGTTCAAGCCTGGATATTGCCCAGATCTTGCTGCATTCGAACTGCTTCACTATCTAAGGAGTCATGAATGGTGCTGAATATTGTGTAATCATTGGCAAACAACCCCACTTCTGACCTTTATGATGGAGGGAAGGTCATTGATGAAGCAGCTGAAGATGGTTGGGCCGAGGGCACTACCCTGAGGAACTCCCGCAGAGATGTCCTGGAGCTGAGACGACTGGCCTCCAATAACCACAACCATCTTCCTATGTGTCAGGTATGACTCCAACTAGTGGAGAGTTTGCCCCCAGTTCCAGTTTTGTTAGGTCTCCTTGATGCCACATCCAGTCGAATGCAGCCTTGAAATCAAGGGCTGTCACTCTGATCTCACCTCTGGAATTCAGCTCTTTTGTCCATGTTTGAACCAAGGCTGTAATGAGGTCAGGAGCTGAGTGGCCCTGGCGGGACCCAAACTGGGCATCACTGAGCAGGTTATTACTGAGCAGATGCTGCTTGATAGCACTGTTGATGGGACCGTCCATCACTTTACTGATGGTTGAGAGTAGACTGATGGGGTGGTAATTGGCCAGGTTGGATTTGTCCTGCTTATTATAAATAGGACATACCTGGACAATTTTCAACATTGCTGGGTAGATGCCAGTGTTGTAGCTTGGCTACAGGAGTGGCAAGTTCTGGAGCACAAGTCTTCAGTGCTGTTGCCGGAACGTTATCAGGGCCTGTAGCCTTTGCAGTATCCAGTGTCTCCAACCATTTCTTGATATCACATGGAGTGAATCGAATTGGCTGAAGACTGGTATCTGTAATGCTGGGGACCACTGGAGGATGCCGAGGTGGATCATTCTGGTGACTTCCCCTGGACTTCTGGCTGAAGATTGCTGCGAATGCTTGAGCCTTATCTTTTGCACTGATGTGCTAGGCTCTTCCAGCATTGAGGATGGGGATATTTGTGGACCCTCCTCCTCCAGTGAGTTGTTTAATTGTCCACCACCATTTACAACTGGATGTGGCAGGACAGTAGACCTTAGATCTGATCCATTAATTGTGTGATCACTTAGCTCTGTCTATCACTTGCTGCTTTTGCTGTTTGGTGTGCAAGTAGTCCTGTTTGGTGGCTTCACCAGGTTGATACCTCATCTTCAGATATGCCTGGTGCTGCTCCTGGCATGCCCTCCTGCACTGTCCGTTGAACCAGGGTTGATCCCCTGGCTTGATGGTAATGGTTGAGTGGGAGATAAGGCCAGGCCATGAGGTTACAGATTCTGCTGCTGTTGATGGCCCACAGCGCCTCATGGATGCCCAGTCTTGAGTTGTTAGATCTGTTCAAAGTCTGTCCCATTTAGCACAGTGGTAGTGACACACAACACGATGGAGGTTGTTCTCAATGTGAAGGCGGGACTTTGTCTCCACCAGGACTGTCTGGTGGTTACTCTTACCGATACTGTCATGGACAGATGCATCTGTAGCTGGCAGATTGGAAAGGATGAGATCAAGTATGTTTTTCCCTGATTGACCCTTTAGGACCCAACCAGCTCAATCAGTAATGCTGCTGCTGAGCCACTCTTGGTGGTGGACATTGAAATCCCCCACCCAAAGTACATTTTGTACCTTTTGCCACCCTGAGTGCTTCCTCCAAGTGTTGTTCAACATGGGACAGTATTGATTCGTCAGACAAGGGATATCGGTACATGGTAATCAGCAGGAGGTTTCCTTGCCCATGTTTAACCTGAAGCCATGAGACTTCATGGGGTCTGGAGTCAATGCTAAGGACTCCCAGAGCAACTCCCTCCTGACTGTATCCCACTGTGCCGCCCCCTCTGCTGAGTCTGTCCTGCTGTTGGGACAGGACAGGGATGGTGATGGTGGTGCCTGGGACATTGTCTGTAATGTATGAATCAGGCTGTTGCTTGACTAGTCTGTAAGACAGCTCTCCCAATTTTGTCACTAACCCCTGGATGTTAGTGAGGAAGATTTGCAGGGTTGACAGAAACCAATTAAGAGTCAACCACAGCTTCTGTGAAGGAGAAAACAGAGTTAACATTTCGGGTCCGGTGACCCTTCCTCAGAACTTGAGTTCTGTTTTTTTCCTTCACAGATGCTGCCAGACCTGCTGAGATTTTCCAGCAACTTTGTTTCTGTTCCTGATTTACAGCATCTGCAGTTCTTTTGGTTTTTATTAAGAGTCAACCACATTGCAGTGGGTCTGGAGTCACATGTAGGCCATCAAGGAGTCTCAGCAATACTGGGGCCAATGTGAATTGTGGTAAACTCTCTACTGGTTAGAGTCATACCTAGCACCACTGAAACAACAAAGCAGACAGACATTAAATCCGAGATAGTAGGAACTGCAGATGCTGGAGAATCCGAGACAACAAGGTGCAGGGCTGGATGAACACAGCAGGCCAAGCAGCATCATAGGAGCAGAGAGGCTGACGTTTCGGGCCTAGACCCTTCATCAGAAAAGGGGGAGGGGAAGGGGGTTTTGAAATAAATAGGGAGAGAGTGGGAGGCGGATAGAAGAGGGATAGAGGAGAGGATAGGTGGAGAGGAGACAGACAGGTTGAAGAGGCGGGGATGGAGCCAGGAAAGGTGAGTGGAGGTAGGGAGTTAGGAAGGGGATAGGTCAGTCCAGGGAGGACGGACAGGTCAAGGGGGCGGGATGAGGTTGGTCGGTAGGAGATGGAGGTGCGGCTTGAGGTGGGAGGAGGGGATAGGTGGGAGGAAGAACAGGTTAGGGAGGCAGGGACGAGCTGGACTGGTTTTGGGATGCGGTGGGGGGAGGGGAGATTTTGAAACTTGTGAAATCCACATTGATACCATTGGGCTGCAGGGTTCCCAAGCGGAATATGAGTTGCTGTTCCTGCAACCTTCGGGTGGCATCGTTGTGGCACTGCAGGAGGCCCAGGATGGACATGTCGTCTGAGGAATGGGAGGGGGAGTTGAAATGGTTCGCGACTGGGAGGTGCAGTTGTTT